CGGGACTTGAGTTTGCATTTTATGAAATTACCACATATTTTTTGATAGCTGTTTAAAATTCAATAATATTTTCTAAACAAAATTATTATCTTACAAAAAAACGTATAATTAAAAATATTTAATAACCTACTTTAATTGATGTGAATACTGAATCACGGAATATAGGTATGATAGGTATGATATAGGTAGTAGCTAATTACTATGAAGTTAAAAGTTACTTAAAAACATAATTCATCATCAAACTAAATTCAAATTAGCTTAATTTAAACCTTTTAGCTTATTAACGCCCAGTCTTGCTAATATCCAATAACTATCCAATAACTAATAACACTTTATAATTTTTATTACCATTACCTTTTTTTTTTTTTTTTATTGATATCATATGTTATACATCTGTATAGCTGTAATGTTGAATATTGTGTAATATGGAGTTACTACTTGTTCGGTTTCCCAAGACCCAAATAGAATTTGCTTCTGCTATAACACGTTAAAGGTTTTGGATTTAGATACAACACTGTGAAGCTCTTATTTGATCGATAATTCTAATAATTCGTATTTAAAGTCATAATATTAATACTAATATAATGATTATATTGTAAAATAAATACATTTTTCAAAACTTTGTGAACGAAAATAATTTATGATCGTGGAGATCTTAAGTTGTACCTAAGCTTGGTCATCGTATTAACTAAAATGAAACTATTTAAATACTATTGTAAATAACAGTAGTTTATAACAACATTACTTACTATGAAGTATGCTAGTGCATTACGACCACTGTAAAGCTCAATTAAATAATTATTTCATGATATATTTTTTGTTATTGACTATTTAATATTTATCATTAATACGATAATACGTAATGTTTAATATCTCGAGAACTGCTTGTTCGATATTTGATTTAGACATAGGTACATATAAAAAAATTATCTCTGAATAATTTTAGTTCTCGTTTGAAACATTCCTTACTTAGTGATATAAAGTGGTATAAATATTCTCAAGATTTTGAATACACGATTTTTAAGTGTAGGTATTTAAAAACTTCAAAAACCAGATTTTGAATGCCTATAACTGTATTATTAAAGAAAAAAGGGGGTTGATCGTGCTTGGTGATCTGTACCTTTATTATAATATTTTATATAAACGTCAGAGGCCGTTATGCGTCCACTATTTTTTCATATACGCATCTTATAAACCGAGTTTATTAGGTACATTTTTAAGACAGCTCGAGTGTTGGCCAAGTGACAGTGTCGACAAGAGATAAAAAATAGTTTATAATTATTAAGCATTATTTTATTCAGATGATCTGTGCAATAATATGTTTTAAGTCATCGCTGTAGTTGGACGACGAATTTATGATTGCGATGTATGCCACCTAACCTTTTGTATGCGGCCTTTGGGGTTAATATTCGACGTTCGTTAGGGCACGTTCTGGTAAGTTCCGACTTCGATAATATCATTTACTTACTGCATACATTTATACTAATATATATATATATATATATGTATGTAAGTATGTATGTATGTATGTATGTATGTATGTATGTATGTGTTTATGTAAATAGTATACACCGTGGGTATCGTTATTATTGGCTCCCACAAACGATTCTAGTACAGTCAGGTGTAAAACAAAGACGTTTACTCAACAGACCCGATAATTTATTTATGATAACCTATCTAAAAAACATTATTAGACATTAATATTTGGTTTTTATCGGTGTAAATAGCAGTGTATCTATTGATTGAAAATAATTTATAGGTATATAATTATCTACATATTGAAACTTAAACGACGAGCAATATATGCTTCATGCTTGTAAACATTAAATTAAACTTATCAATTCGTTTTGAATACAATCCATTTTGTTACCTATACATACCTATTAAGTAAATAATATTTGTAAAAAGTTGTTTTCTTCAAATTTTACGTTATGCTTTAAAAATTACTTTTTCTTTTTTCTTTTTTTTTTACATAAAATGGAAATCAAATCCTCTACAAAATAATGTTGTGTGTTTTTACAAAAACACATAACATTTACAAAAGTCGAAAATCAGAAGATTTTTATTAAAATTTCTTGTAATAATTATCTTAAATTTTTTGTACTCTACATTAAGCTGTTGATACGTATTATGTAGGTACCTATCTATATTACTGATTATTTTCTTATATAACTATATGCTCTCTTAAGTGTTTAGTGTCCATCATAGTCTTTATGTTTACGATGGCCATAAGAAATATGTTATTTGACGGCTTTAATTTAATTTTTAAGCATGTAACTCGGTTATCTATTTAATACTTAATATTATATTATTTACATTAGAATTTAATTTTTATCTATTTAACACGTTTTAATATGTTGCTAATTTGTTACTATTTGTTTAAAAACACGACTCTGATTTGAATTGGTGTCATTGTCGAATGTTGTATTGCCAATTGAAACTGTATATTAACTACTTCAAACTTGGTTGCAAAATATACCTAATGAATATTTTTAAACTGTAAAACACATAAATCAGTCATTAGTCAATCCACAATTATTTTTATTATTCATTAATTTTTTTTTTTATAAATATTTTTTTTTGATACTGTCATATATACTATATCATATTATTATATAATAATTATAAAAAAGGATGGGCAGTATTTTATATTATTAGAATTTTTATTTTTTATATGTAATTATTAATTAGTATATATTTATGGTGATTTGTTTTGTATTAATATATTTAATACTTATATATATATATTTATGTAGATATACATTATAGATAGCAGAAAGGAATATCTTAATCGTACTTATGTCATTGAACATTAATCTTATAAGTATTAAAATACTTTTATATTATTTCTGGAATCGATAACATATAATGGTTAAATTCTCAAGTGTTTAATCAATATATTATATGCATTTTAACAAAAGAAATATTTTAAGGTCATTTGAACACGTGTAACATGTTTGAATTGTATAATGAAATAATGTTTCGATTTTTATTTAATCCGTTTCATGTTGTACATGATAATTAATTTATGAGCTTGTGTTACAATTCCAATATTTTATACTAAACCTTGCATTTTTTATAAATACCTAATTAAAAAAAAATTAAATAATCTAAGAATTTTAAATTCCTATAAATATCTTAAATTCAGTACAAATATTTTAAAAATATTATTGGGATAGTAAATAATAATTTAAGTCACAAAGAAGTGTTTTAAGATTCAATGATTGATACTTTTTAATCATAAAATAAAAAAAAAACTAAAACGGTATTATGAGAAATCATTTTATTATGTGTGAATACGTAATTTCACTAAAATTTAAATTTCAGACGCTCATAAAAATATTTATGTAATTAAATTAAATTTTTGTTTAATGATTCTTGTAACTAAACATGTTTAGAATCATGTACCTATTGAATATTCAAATCATAAATTTTAATATTAAAAATAATGAGAATTTCGGACTACAAAACAATTTGCAAATTTCATAGTTTTTCCGAATTTTGGTGAAAATTAAATGTTTATAGTAATAATGATTAAATAATACAATAATAAACACTTATATATATTTAACTCTAGTATTCAAACTATCAACAGCAGAAGAGAACCCTTATATATTAAAAAAAATTCTAGATTTCGATACAACTTAAATTTTTTATCAACATTTATTGAAAAATAACAAAAAAAAATTAAAATTGAAAATTTTAAATATAAAAAAGGCTCTTAAAAAGTTAAAATATTTTTACTGCTCTCCTTTCCCAAAAAAAAAATTACAGTAAAAGCTCTAAATACCTGATCGTATTTATCGATACTTGATAGTTGAAATTTTGTCAGCTATTTAGAGGGGGGAAAGTAAAAGAAAAAATGAACAATATAAAGATTTCATATTATTACAGTAAAATATAATATTATGATAAAAAAAATTATTAAAATCTAACCTTAAAAGTATCCGTTATTTAGAGAGTGTCCTGTATTTAGACTTTTCTTGTAGATAAGTAATGAAAATGTTCCAGTTCCCGAAAAATATCTGCTATTTGGAAGTGTTCGTTAAGAAAAATTTCACTGTATTTTTAAAATATTTTAACTAAATTTTGGCATTTAAAATTTTCGAATCGTTTAGCAATTTGTTAAAATATCGATAGATATTTTTTAAAAGTTCAATAAATAATCTAAAAATATAATAAAAAATCCTTCATAAGTTTTTCTTATAGACATTTAGAAATATAGAAAACATTTAAGCACAATTATTTATACACGTTTGAAGTTTAAATTTTGATAAAACTCGTCAATATCACAAAAACGTTCATATTTGCTAATTTAATATAGAGTCCCTCATGATTAGTTTTTGCTGAATTTAAAAAATCTTATAAATAAAGAACTACAATTTTTTTCTAGTCATTTGAAATTAAAATGTATTAAATAAAGAATAACGAGCTTAGTTATTTTATTATAACTTAATCATATTTTAAGGACTTTGATGTATTTTATTATATTTTACTAAACACAACGACTTTTTAAAAATATTTAAATACAAATGATACAATTAAAGTTATTTCTCATTTACACCTTAAATTTATGAGTGTATTGACCTATTCAATGAAAAAGTGATAAACTACCACTTATTTGATAATTTTTTTTTTAAATATTCAGGTAAATAATAGTAATAATAAGGATAGAAATATTTCGTATAATCAAGCTTCTTCGTCTAACTATGATATACAGGAGTCAAGTGACAATTTTTTTATTATAGTATGATCATTGATACTAAATACTTTAATTAATTATAACTTAAAATCGAGTGTTATGTCACCAGAAATCTTTAACTTTAATTTTGAACACACGTATTTTTAAGTTAAGTGGATTTTTGGTGTGATCACGACATTAAGAATTCAATAAACGAGATTCAATTATTCAAACTTAACTATCTATGAGGTGTAGCAGATAAATATAACTATGTAATTATCTAATTTTGATTTTTTTGTATTCTTTTTTTCTTTCAAAGGACCCCAATGCCACCACCCATTGATAAAAAATTGCGACACTTCAGTGTACCCGATCTTGGACTGGGAAATATCCGGATGGTTTTACCACTCGATGTTCAAATCTTGCCGACCAATGTACTCACCAAATGGCGTACACATTTGCAATGAAAACAGAGATATACCTAATACCAGAGAAATGTGTGAAGATTTATGCGGTAAGTTATCCATTTAACGATGCGTAGCGTGTATGTATCTACTATTGCCCCACTTTGGTATTATAATTAGGGACCGTAATACCGTTAATATTTACCATTAATTTAATGTAATTATTAAAAATTATAAAAAAATAAAAATAATCAGATATTAAAAAAAAAAAAAAAAAATGTTTAATTTAGAATTACGTAAATACATCTAAAACAAAAGCCGTGTTTAAAAAGCCAATTATGAAATATTCGATAAAATGTGTTCTAAAAGATCATTTTTTCTAAGAGATGACTGGCGCATGAATTCAAGGAAATTTCGAGCAGTACTTACCCTGTTTTTCTCCATTTTAAAAAATTCGCTTTTAGTATGAGCTCTGAAAATAAAAATCCACACAGTCAAAAAATATTATTGACTCCAACTCATAAATTTTTTAATCGATGTTGATAATGTATATTCGGACCAATCAGACACACACGCAATAAAATAACATTCATTTTTTTCCCAACAAATGTCCATTGTAAGAGTATCTATACAACCTTTCAAGAGTATACAACTAGCGTTGAACTTTGAATAGTGTTATGTTTATTATTTCTTTGTAAAATGTACAATCTCTACATTCAGCTGAATGATTTCTTTGGCATTTTACGCAAAGTTACATTTGATTTTGACAGTGGTAATAATTATTTTCCACCAACATAATTGATACATGATATATGGATGGTAAACGATAAAACTTTTGAGTGTATAAAAGTCCTTGATAATTCGTTCATTAAGGGATGTCCTTGAAAGGTTTTTTTTTATTTATACTATATTACACGTGTAAAAATCTGTTCAAAAATGTATTTTTGTAGAAAATTTACATAATAAGATTGTGACAATAACTATATAACTATATAAGTATCAGATTTTTAAACTTTTTCTGAAGACGTTTTATTGAAGCAACTTCGAATTTTAGCTATTGAAGTTCGTTTTAAACAGAAAATTTTGTAATGTTTATGGGGACGATTCTATTCATTTCTATTAGATTAATTTCAAGGATATGATTTAAAAATAAAATTAAAAAAAAAACATACACATTATTTAATACTTTTAAGAACAAGTAAAATAAATAATTAGACACCAAATCAATAATGTTTAAAAGTTGCATACGAGAAGATAGCCGTGGAAATATAGAAGGAAATTAGTCCACTAATATCATGTTGATTCCCCTCTCTGCTAATAAGTTTTTAGTTAAATTTATAAAATTTAAAAAGATAAAAAAATAAACAGCTGCAATGAAGTATCATTCGACTCTCGACTCCTCTGCAGATGTGTTGTATATCATCTAAGACTAAAAAAATATAACTAACTAATTCGCAGAAGTCTAATTTTATGAGAATTACAATAAACTGCCACGGGACTATAGCTATATATTATTTAAATTTTAAAAACTGCATAGCGAGACCCTGCACGAGTGCGCTCGTGCTTGCTGTAGTGCAGGTACAAGTTAAACGCCCAACCGCGGATCTATAAAAACGATTTACAAAATGTAATACGCTAGCAATACTGATTCCGTATGAATTGATTTAATTTTGTTAATCATTTTTGTTTATTTTTTCATAGGTGAATCGTGTATCATGAGCAACGGTTCGACTGGTATTTGTATGTTCAATCAAATGTGCAATATCGTCAATGACAAGCCCTCCGCCCACCCGAGACCGTGTGGGAGTTACAATGTAAATTGCTGTCCCAAGGTAAGCGACAGCAACTTGGTACCATTCGAAGATCCTTCGGCAAACAACAACGGGAACGCTGATCCCGAAAACCGTGTACAGCTCGCTGACCAATCGTCCTCACGAAATGGTACACTCTACGTCTATCGTCTTCCGAATAGGCCACGTGCGGAAACCAAACGCAACTAATAGTACGAGGACTCGCACCTGCAGTGACATTGTTATTCTGTTTAAAAATAGTTACTGAAGTTTTTTTTTCTAATTATTACTATTATTATTATTATTATTATTATTATTATTATTATTGCAATTAATATCATTATCATAACTATATAATGTCATATATTATTTATACGTTACGTCGTCTAAAAAGTGTATCTCGACACCGCACTGACCGGTCGACAGTCGACGTTATATTGTGGCTACGCATCACAAAAACGAACGGACTATAAAATATAAAGACGAACCAAAAAAATTAACCGTTTCATTCTACGATTAGCGGTCCCTCCCCCCCCTCCCAAAAAAAAAACAAAAAACACGTCAATAAATTTATATATTTTTTTATTGATGCAGAAATACTACACGCAGTATGCACATTGTATCACCTTCATTGCGCACACGACACTGACACGTGAAATATCTTCGAATTCGACATATCATGACCTCATTATTTTGTCCGCAGATAAGGTAAATAAGTTGAAGTTCCGCCAACGATCCGTTATCCCTCGCAACGATAATGATTTCAAAACTTTGAATTTATATAACCGGCCCTTCGTCAAACAATAACAACAACATACTTAACATATTATTACATAACATAACTACTTGAAAAACAGTAATTTATTTTGCATTTTTACACGACGTCTTACCTGACTTTTATCTTGTATTACATGAAAATAAAATATATTTCAAAGGCCGCCAAGATGTGTGATTATTTCGTTGTACAATACTAAACTTTGACGGAGCCCGTATTGGTAAGGGTATAACTACGTTACAGTGTTTATTTATTACGTTTATGCTGATGGTTCTCTTAAATGTTTGTTTATTTTTATTTATATAATATGTATTTTTTTTTTTTTTTTTTATAATAAACTTACCATGTTTCGTCATGATTATCAAAATATTAAACCTTTTAAATATACGTATTATTATTAATTATTGATATCACCAATAATTATTCAATTTATTCTTTGGATGTATTTTTTATCATAATGAAACAACCGATAATTTTATAAATACATACTTTATTTATAATATTTTTTATTTGTTGATGTTTACTATCTAAGATTTTACTTCTCTAAGCTTATTTTTTAAAATTAATTTCTTACTTTATTCGTATTAATATTAATTATTTGTGAAATGGTCAATTTTAAACGAAATCTGAAAATATTAAGTTACAACAGATTAGGTATATCTGCATTAAATTATTAGTAATTATAGCTATACATTATGTAACACAATAATTACTGTGAGTAATATTATTAATATTTATATTCTTGTGCAAACGTAATATTCACGTTAAAATCATGTAACCAACCAATAAGTTTCAAGACACCATTTTTAAACCGTTTATGATATTGTCATTGGAAATTGCTTAGCATATACATTTTAATTACTAATTAATCTATGCAATTTGTTAGCTTGAGATAATTACTAACATATTGTTTTGGAATAAGACACTCAAGTGACTACTGAAGCATTAAATTATTAGAATTAATAGCATCGTTCATTTTAAAAGTGGAACGATAGCTTTTTGCTAGCTTGTGTTCAAATATTTCAAACAAAATCGTCCAACCCAATGAAAAGCTGTTAATGACTTTTAATAAAAATAGTATAATTATTATTATAATAAATACCTAAGGATATAAAATAAAACTGGTGGTTAATTTTTATGAATTTCATAATACTGTAAAATGTATAAGAAAACCAATACATTTGATAGATAAATATGTACGCTTTTAAACACAATTATCAATAATTGTAATAAATTAATATATTTTACTCGCTTATCCAATGGAATTACATTAATGTATAGTTAGGTATTTGAATTGCGTATATATATTATACATAAATAATATCAAAAACATTTTTTTTTTTTTTTTTTTTTTTTAATTTAAAACAAATAATTTTGTTACTATATAATTTAGAGATTTTAATTTTAATATTCATGATAGTATTTTAGAATGTTCTTCTCCAATGTTTAAATATGTATATTTATGCTTATTTTATTTTTTATAATTGAAAGTGAGATAAAAGTATAGAGATTGTCTTTCGGTAAAAAAAAAAAAAACATAATGATTTGGAGACTGGAATTTAATATTATTTTAAGACATCTACATTAATATTTTTCCCATTTGTTTTAATTTTAATTTAATTTTTTTGTCAGGTTTTATATTATCATATCTATCAAAGTTATTACACTAATACAATTTTTATTTTGCTATTTAAATCGTATTAATTTTTATATTACTTCTTGTATACTTTTTCAACCAAAATAATAAGTAATAAATATAATACAATAAACTGCGTGATTCTTCCAACAAAAAATAATTTAGTATTTTGAAAAAAATATTTTGTTTAATCAATTTGAACTACTAATAAAATAAATGAAAATAAAAAGTAATATATATTTTAAAATCTGAGAGGAATTATAAATGGGATGACTTTGAAATAATGTGTACTTATTTTATTATCGTGTCTAATGTCAACTTTAGGAAAGCAGTAAAAATAAAAATACTTAGACATTCAATTTAAATATCTATTTAATTGAATCTAGTTATTAATACGTTGTGGATAAAACACTAAACTTAAAATTCCACGATATTTTTTTTTAAATTGTATATAAAAAAAAAAAAAAAAAACGTGAATTTTTACACAAAACTAATTTTTGATAAAATAAGTTTTTTTATTTTGTTGTAAAACAATTTTATAAACAAGAAATAATTATATACCTTTTTGACTTTTTAATTTGTTCATAGATATTTGAAATTTTCATTTTTCGTTTTTTTTAAATTTTAAATGTATACTTAGTGAATAAACTTAAATGTTCAATACACGGTTCTTCATAATTTATACATATTGTTATTATTATTATTTTTTTTTTCTTTTGATCGTTTGAAGATAAAATTCTGACTGAATTTGACTATATCGCGAGAAAACGTTAAAAATACATATAATTATTAATTTTCATACCTACGATTTTAAAATTAAATATAAGAGTTCATATAAGGTTTCATTAAAAAGTTTAAGTAATATTTTATATAACAAGCTGTTTTTAACAAAACTAAAATAAAATATTATATAAAAATAAAGTTATTAATAAACTTTCTTTATTGTACCTATATTTTAAGATTTCTCTATTTTTAAGGTACAAATTCATATATTTTATTGATTTATAAATTACAAAATTATTCGTTTTATGTTACAAATAATCTTTTTGTTCGACATGAATGAATTATTTGCAAATACCACATTATATCACAGTAGATATTTTTTAATTTCCCTTTAAATTGAACTGAAAATAAAGATTGAATTTTCCACTATTATTCAATTTAATCAATATATCGTTAAACTATTCACCATTTATTATTTATTTATTTCTATATAAATAATAAAATATTACGTAATTGTCATTGTATAAACTAGAATTATGTATTAAACAACCATAATACTAAAAATTATATTTTAGTGTAGTTAACGTTCATAAAATTTGTTTTTAAATTACCTACCATCTTTGCCTATAATTTTTATACACAGAGATATTGTTGTAGCTTATAAATAATTATAACTGTAACAGAAGTGCAACCCCAGCTAATGTCCATTTGGATGATTTATCTTTGCTCTTAAGACTAAATGTCCATACATACGTCGGTCCCCTCGTTCTAGTTTTATATACTGGGCACTCATAAACGTTTCGTGAATCTTGTTTGTCTTGTGTAATCGCCTGTAAGTTCAACATAAATCGTAAAAATTAACAACAAATCACGTAAGAAAAAAAAATGTTGAATTAAAACATTCATATACACACACAGTATACATTATAAATTATAATATATTTTTGAACAAGACAAATTATAGCTGGTGATAAATACTCGAGCGTCATTTTAAGCGTACTTAACATATGACTATATGAGTTATACATGTGCACAAAAACGCATAGTTGTTTGTGAACTGAAGGAAATATTAATTTAAAAAAGTATTAATACTTACTCGGACATTAATCACTGGCATTTGAGGGAATAACTCTTTTAGTTTGGATTCCATGATGACCCCTTGCATTATATCCCATCTGGCGCCTTCCATGAAAAGCCCGTGAATGTAAGCCCCGTCTCTGGCGGCTCCACTAAAAAATTGTCATCGGTAAGCATACAATAAACTACGCTAGTAGTTAAACCCGACAGTTGAATTTGCGATACGCTTACTTATTGCGTATAATTATTATTATGTGCTGGATCATTTACCTGAATTCTTCTTTGTGCTTTTTTGTCACGTCACACTGGAGACACATTTTGTCAAGAGGTAATTCATGTTTCCTCGCTGTGCTTTGCATAATCGCCGTCAAAAACGATTGAGGATTGAAAAATCCAGAAAGCCAAACTGAAGTAGGAACCTTAAACGATACAAATATGTTCTTTTGTATTTGTATTATATCTTAATTACTAGATAATAAGTATATGACATATAGCCTAGGTGACTAGGTATATATTAGTATTAGTATATTATCAGTCAAATAATAATAAATTATAAACAAAAAATATATATTATAATGGACCTTTTTACTGGCCAACGCTAATTATATCAAAAAGTACACATTATTAAAAACGTAAACTAATTAATATGCAGTTGTAAAATGTATAATTTTAAGATCCTTGATTTTTTTATTTCTTATCATGAAAACATTATATTGACATGTATTTTTAAATGGTGACCTATAGTTTAAAAAAATTAATCTGAAGTAAAATATTTGTATAACAATTTCGAATATCGAACAATTATTTTTAGATTATAAGCGGAGCTATGAATACTATTTTTAGTTAATAATAATTATACGTATTGTACGTTTTGACGAATAGTTCATGCATCTCAAATTTTTAGTGGCATCCTAATTTTTACTTTACACCTCACTATATACATTATAACTTATAATAGCATAAGATTTAGTATGAAGTAAAAAAATTTTATTAGTTTTTATTTTTTTTTTTTTTTTTTTTTTAACAGCAATAAGTCAATAAGAAATTTTTGATTTCTGTGTGTGAAAAATAAAACCATAATTTTCTTACGATTCATG